CGGGCCGCTTCGCTTCACCCTACACGGATGAGGTCATCCTTCTGCAGACTGGTTCTCTGTGAACACTACTTCCGGTTCGGGGGCGAGAGGGAGGGATGTGATGGCTACAATGGTGTGCCTGGGTGACGATCGTTTCAACTGTTTAATTGTTGCACGATTCTTATTGCTTTTAAGAATGTAGAGAGAAAATTGTTATATCGTCCAATAATATCGCTGATTTTATTATACAGTGAGGAATGTCATGTTATGTTGTAATATTGTTATTGAGAACCATTCGAACTATTCAGAATCATTCGAACTATGCAGAACCATTCGAACTATTCAGAACCATTCGAATCTTTCGACATATAAACATTTAGTTCACGTGACGCCGGTCACCGGTGACCGTCACGTAACAGGACTTCAAATACTGAAATCGTAATAGGATTCGTTGTAAACGCATAATCAGCCAAAATATCTACACTCTCCGTGCGCTGGGCGAATGCTTTAAATCCGAGGATGTTTTATTAATGGTTCTACATGCAAGATTAATCAGGATAAACGAAGTGCCGCATTAAGTAGGCACGTTTCACAGTGGTACAGGACATCGATGTAGGAGTTCAGAAGCTTAATTGTGAATTTCGGAACCAAACTTGGTAAGCATATATTTAATGTTAATACTTGTCAAAAACATACAAAATTAGTAAGTAATGTTTTTTAATAATAATTTTTGTATAAACAAACTAAAAACTTTTTTCTTTTATGGAATTATCATTGTCAATCACAAGTTCTCTTGAAATAAACTATTATTAAAAAACATTACTTGTTACTTTTATATATATTTTTTTTAATAAATATGAACATTGAATACATGCTTACCAAGTGTAGATTTGAAATTCCCATTTTCACATACAAATTAAGCTTATGAAATCCTAAATAGGCGTTCTGTACCACTGTGCGTTTGCTCGCGCAAATTTGGAAACAATCGCAACGATCGGCGCTGCGTGCGTAACACGTCCCCCTGTGCGCGCACGGTACATATTCCTTCGAGGGAATCGTATACATACGGCCCCATGGTCCGAATGATCCGTGCATGAGATTACTTTGATATACGACAGTTTATCCGTCGGACACGTTGGGTTGTCGCAGGTCAGGTCAATTCAGGTCAACGTACTCCTTGACCTGCCCCTCTACGTCCCTGCGCCCTCGTCGTTTTCCCTCCTCTAGTCTTCGAAACTTCTATCCTACTTCAAACGATTCTTTTCCTTCCCCCAATTCGAAATCCCAGCGTCCCCATTTGCATTCTCGCGCACCGTTGTTTCAAGAGAAGTGGCGAGAGGAGGCTCAAGAAATTTTTTTTTAGAAAATACATTTCCCAGAAAATACATTTTACCCCTTCTCAACCTTTTAGGGGTTGAATTACGAAAAATCCCTTCTTAGTGGTTGTCTATGTAAGAGGGCGTTGATGAATCAGTCAATCAAAATGAGGGTATTTAGTATTTTCACAGATTTAATCAAACATAACGAGAAACCAGAAGGTAAATATTTTTTTTATTGAAACATCGAAGTGTGCAATAATTTTTTTAATAAATTTTATAAATCCACGTGGGTCGTTTTCATGTTCATGACTCAATAGTATATAAACTAAACAACATTTTATTCGATTCCAGTTTCTGTAATTAAGCTATAAGAATCCATATTTGAATTTCCACATTTTTTATTTACTTTCTATTCCCCTGTCTTGATTTTTGATCGATCGCAGTTTCAACCGATGGAAATCCGGTGAACGTAGCTTTGGAAATTATTTTAAAGTCGTACAACTGAAGAACTCATTTTTGGTTCTAGAAAACGATGTATATATGTAATAATTGATGTAAATATGTAATAATGTGGATCTGTTGTAATGTTTATTGACCAACGTTGAGTTCGAATCCGAGCCGAAAATTCGGCCAGGTGTAATTTCTTCGTTTAGCGGGGCAAATCTTTCCTGTGTTTGTTCCTCCGTTCGTCGTAGCGTTCTTTAAATTGGGTATCGTTGGACGTCCCATTAAAAACAGTCGTCACCTTCTCGAGTCTCCGAGTATCAATTAGCCGATGATTAATTTCGGGATGAATTATTCATCGCGGAAAAGACGACGTGACACGCTAATTAAAAGCCCCGCGGATTGGCACATTTAACGAGGACAGAACGATTGATTTCGTATCTGTAACAATCTCTAACAAATTCGAATATTTACGAGTAACTCGAAAGTTAGAGATCTGTTCGAATATATTCGAATAATTCAACAATTTCCGAGCTGGAAATTCAATTTCCAAGTAAATCGAAATCTTCACGAGCGTTCGAATATTCGACCCATTTGAGTTTCTGACGTAGCTCGCATTTTTTTTCAAACGGTTCGTTGATTTCAAGTAGCTCGAAAAATTCAAACACTCGACTCGAGCAATCGTATCGAGTTCGGCTCAGCTTTTAAATTACGAGTACTCGCACACCTGTGTAGTACACACGGTGTGGGGCCGCGTCATCGAGAACGCTGGGTGTGCGGTCGGAAGGGTAGAGGGAGGGGGGAAGGTGGTATCGCGGTCCACGTGACCGAGGAACGTGCCGCCAGGTGCACGTGGACCGGAGAGTCGCATCCCCCGGTATCCGCCCTGGCTGGCTCACTCGTCGGGCCTCGTGCTTTCAACCCTCTTTCGCCTCGAGGCGGAGGAGAGAGGAGACTTGTTCCTCTCAGTCATCCTCGAGCCTCTCTTCAGGCTCTTGCGCGGCCCGCACGGTCTATATCCTTTTCCGTCGATCTACAATATACAGTCGACCAGTGTTCGCGCGCGCAGTGTGTGTGTGTGCGTGAGCGAGTGTTCGTGTGTGTCGTGTGTGTGTGTGTGTGTGTAAAGAGAGACTATTCGGTTCAACGCGTACATATATAATGCTTGGTCATGTGCACAACTGTCTACATGGCCACACACACATATATTATATAAATATATATATATACATATGTTATATGCACATGAGTCTGGTAATAGACGGTTCTTGGATACGTCGTGTTAGGTCGGTGTGTAAGTAAATATCGTTTGTTTATTGACGATTGTACAGTGAGAGTCAAAGCTAAGGAAAACAGTTTCAATCAGTAAAGCCCTCCTGCATAGTCACGTGAACATTTATGCGAAATGTTAGATTCTAAAATGAGAGAAATAAATATGAATGAATCCCTATGCTCTTAAAGTGTATACTCACTTTTGACTCTCACTGTATGTGTGGTACTGGGTCACTCCAAACGGGAAATTATATTTCTTTCTTTCCGTTCGTTCAATACTTCAACTAGTGGTTAAACAAAAGGGATCATTACAATTGGGTTAAATTTTGTTGAATGGACTTTGTTTTGAAAATGGATGACGAGAATTTATATTTTCGAGGAATTATATTTCTTTATTTCCGTTCGTTCGACACTTCAACACATGATTGAAACGAACGAATCATTACGATAGGGGGGAAATTTTCTGTTGAATAGAAGTTTGTTGAATGAAGATATAATTTGGTCTTCCGTGAAAGTGATTTCGAAACCGATTAGTGAATCGTCTCGTGGCAAACGTCATTTGCTTCCGGTAATAGACTGTCGGTAGTGTTCATCGTCCGACGATATTTAAATTCAACGTCGACCAGACTCCCCGTGGATTCGATCATTCGCATGAAAAATTTATGATTCTCCCGTTTTATGGAAGTGTGGCATGTAGGGGAATTATGGTTGCCAGAGTTTATTCGGAGCATTGTTTCGTCTTGATTCCTTTCGGAGGACGTTCGAATTTACGAATTCTTGACGGGGGTCTCGCGTGTCGTGTCTGCTGTCTCGTGGATACGTTTCAATTCAAACCGACATTAATGTCCTACAATCAGTCAGCTGGGAGGTTGTAATAAATCTATTCCGAAACGACTCAGACAATTCTGTTTCGGACCCTGTTTCTTACAAGGGTACTTAGGTGACCTTTTTTTTTTTCTCTTCTTCGATGTAATTTGAATATCTAGAAAGAGATTATTTTCCCGCCTCATACATCCAAAAGAACTAGATGAATTTATAAACAATTTTAAACACAATTTGAAATTCAATTTTTAAAACAATTTTAAATTCACCTATCTTTTTTTGAGTCTATGAGACTCGTGGCCAGAAAAATCCCTCAACGAGGGAAAATTGCGGATGGTACTATCTTGGTAGTGAGGGAAGGTAAAGGGGAAGGTTATGGCACGGAAGTGTCCCCCTCCGATTTCGATGAAACTTCGTATGTTTGTTAAGTAGTCAAAAATAAGAGATACGTCTTTTTTTTTAATTGGCTGAGACGCGACTGTAAGGGGTGACACCACCCCTCGAAGTTTCGATCCGAAATTTTTTTGTTATAAACAAATTATATTTTGGACAATTTGTTAGCACCATATTATTCCACATAAAAAACCGCAAACCTCGTCCATTAGAAGTTTTCATGTATCTCCTCTGGTTTCCGAGATAGTACTTTTGGGTCGAAACTTAGAGGGGTAGTTTCTTCCCTTAAAGTCGCGTCTCAGCCGATAAGAAAAAATACGTATCCCTTATTTTTGACTGTTTAACAGACATACGAAGTTTCAACAAAATCAGAGGGCGACACTTCCGTGCCTTTCCTTGTTAGTTAATATTTTATTAAAAATTTTCTATCGCGACTAATTCCATACTGTATAACATATTGACGTAACTGTTTCTAATCTTATTTTCATTACATGTTATGTATGTATACTGGGTTTATACCCCTTAAATAACTAAATATATAAATAAATAAATAAAATTATCGCAAACCACATCTCGCAACTCTGTTGCTTACGTTCGACTACTCGACCAGGTCAGCATGATTCCGGTCAGTGAAGACCCATCAGAGAAACCGTGAACGACACTGGACTAATAAATTATACAGTGAACAATCGTTAAGCAAAAAAAAGAAAACAGTGAAAGAAGAAAGGGATTGATAAAGGTGCGCGTCCCAAAAGAGTGTCCTGCCGCCGAATGGGGAGCGAAGAAGGAGGCGATGGGATGGCAAACGTGGATGCCGGCGCTTCATGGCAGCCGTATTACACCTGGTGCGCCCCTTACGCCCACCCTCAACAGCATCCCCATCCCTCGTCCCATCCCCATACACCCTATCCCCATCATCATCCGAGCCACGTTAATCATCAGTATCCAGGGGACCAGTATCAGCAACAACCACCGGACGCCCCGTCGACAGCGAACGCTACCGCCCATTATTCCAGCTCGCAACAGTATCAGCTGCAGCTGCAACACGGCCAGACGCCGCCCCTGCACCAGCAACAACAATACCACCCTGTTAGAGGGCAGAACGGGCCGAGGAGAGCCGCTCCTTACGACCGACCAGGTATCCAATCCAGATTTTCTCTATGGCGGAGGTTGCTCCATCATCGACCATTGGCGCTTACGAGCTGACTAGAATCGAGGGGCGTGGATTTGTATGGATCAATCGGTCCTGCCAGTACATATTTAATTTTTTTTTCGTAAATCTACGACGGAAAGGGTACTTTCGAGGAATTGTGACCCGTTTTTTCTGTTCGTATGAAATTTCAACTGGTGGTTTGTAAAAAGAATCATGCAGATTTTATGCATTTATAGGGCTCTGCAAAATACTATAAGTGCAGTTTCGAGAAATTATTTTTATTACCGTTCGTTGGAAACTTTAACTGGTGGTTTGAAAAAGAATCATTACAATTGGGTTGAATTATTTTGAATTGACTGTGCTTTGAAAATGAGTGACGAGGGGGGGTGTACGTTCGAGAAATTATGTTTCTTTATTTCTATTCGTTCGAAACTCCAACTAGTGGTTTAAAAAGAGAGTGAGAGTGGTATATATGAGAGTGGTTATAGGAGAGTGGTACATATTCGTTTTTTTGGCACCAACGACTATAAATCTGTGAGTGTCGATGGAAGATTATTGGTTACATGTGTTATGAAGGATAGTTCGGTTTCACTTAATTCAAGTTTGTAATATACGGTCTTCAAGGTACAGTCAATCTACGATTAATGCTCGAAACTCGGAACTGCTTTAGAATAGTTATCGTAGAGGGTCACTGTAAATCCTCATGGATAGAGAGAACAAATAGGCCTATAACAGAATTTTTAAAAAAATTTTTTAATTGGGTTCTACTATTATAAAATAGCATTTCTTTGAAACTATTACAAAATAAATGACTAAAGCTATTTTTTTAAATTTAAATCATTTTTATTAGGTAGGTGGAGGTCATTGTATCGTAGACAAATGAATTCGTCTTGACACACACTTTGATACGATATAAAAATATATATAGCATTCCATTTAAAAAATGGAGGGTCACCGTCATTTCTAACAAAAATTGTGCACATACGAAAAAATTACATAATTTTTTTCTAATATTCACTATTTGCAAGAAAACGGTGGTTACTAATACCAAGAACACCATGTATATCACCAGAGACTACAACATATCCGAGTGTCAACAAAATCCGAAATGTTATTCCAAAAAGTGTTAAATTTCGCGAGGAATAACCCTATAGACGATTCCTTTAATTTTCGTGAGTCTTGTGCTATCTAAGACTCCCCCCTTTTCATCGCTAATGAACGCAACAGTGTGTCACAATTCCATCCGAATCAACTTTACGGTTAATGGTCGCAATTTTCGTTCCCGTTCGAAGCACAGTTAATCGGGAAGGTAACAAGAACACAGATAAGAAAGCTACGGTTTCCCAGGTTCTCCACTGTCGACGATCCATCGCTAGCTAGGCTCCTCTACCCTGTCCTGTCCTTGGCTTCCGCGGACGTCTATTATCCGGATCGCAACCCTGGAGGATTCTACGCTGAAATTACATAAGCGACGGTTGCTGCGATCGTCACGCGACGTCAATCACCAAATGGCTTGATCCTTCTTGGAGGAATTAATAACGTTGGGTAGCTTTAGCTTCTTTCGTGGGTATAACTTGTGTATATCCTGATTAAAATCCCATTCCGTTGCCTTGTATATGTGCGGAGGCACACACGCTCGGTTCATACCCTAGAGGATCGCGTTCCTTTCCAGGTAAATCTCTTGGCAGCGATCCTTCTTTTAACGCGGGAGGAAAAAAAAAGAAACGAAGGACTAGGATCGCGATCGATTGTCGTGGGTAATCGATACCCTGAATGGTACCAAGAGGAACGAACCGTTTGTGTTAGGTCCTTTTCGACCGAAGTGCTTCTAGGACATGTTTGGACGGAAAAGTGATCGTCTTATTGGGCGATAAAATAAAGAAAGAACCCATTTTGTACGTATTAGGACAACGACGCGAACTGCTACGAGTATTCGAATAATTCGAATAGTTCAAATATCCGAACACTTACATTTCTAGTACGTACCCCCTTAAAGGTGTGTGACTGTGACTGTACGACGAAGACGAGAAAGACTAACACAGGTTTGTCTCTGCGTGAATACGTTTGCGTAACCGCTCTGCAACACAATCTACCGTGGACTGCTTACTACGTATCCCTGTACGCAAAACAAAAACCGTCGACGAAAAACGACGATCGACCGAAGAGGCAAATCCACCCCTGTCTCTGTGTTAGAGAGAGATAGTAACTCTGCACGGAAGACTTGTATAGAAGGGGGTTAGAGGAAACAGCGACGCAGCCCGCTCGTCGTCGTCGTCGTCGACGGTCGGGCGGGCGGGAAAACGAACGCTGAATTATTCATAAGGGAATCTGTTGCTTTTATTCGATCGGTGTTGCGTTGCCGTTTTCTACTACCTTTCTACGAATTTATTCGGAGCACCCCGTTTGATACGGAACCGGTGAAAATTGCAACACGGGTCCCATGACGCGCAGCTTTGAGTCATCTTATTACCCGGAAATGTCTGGATTACGCGAACAGACAACGGTGTCGACGATGATGATCGGGAGTGCTTTAACGAATCGAATCGATGAATATAATTTGCAATCGGATCTGAACCGATTCCTCAATTGGTGTAACATAAACAGAATTGGATTAAATTTAAATGTCATGAAAGTTGAAGCTTCTAACAATGCTCCATTGGGCCACCTTAAAACTGATCGAAGTCGTCGACTGTCCAGTAGCTTCGTCCGTTTCGAGGACTCTCGAGAACTTGAGTCGCCTAAAAAGACATATATTTTTCTTCATAGTGTCTCCATTATCACCGAGTAGGTACATATCGTCGGTCCGCGTGCGAGGTGCCGTTATATTTCTCCTATGGAAATACACGGTAATCCAGCGAGTCGGAATAAACAACGACGTTCATCATCCGGAGTGGCGGTATACATGAAAACCGTATCTAATCGTTCGCCGTTTTCTTCCATCGTCTCGTCCACGCTGTTTTCAGCCCAGTCTTCATTTATTCAAATCTGGTATATACTTACCCCGACGGGTGCCGGTGTACAGCGTCCGCGGACGGTTGCCTCTTCATCGCAACGATGAATCTCCTTTTCGTTCATCCATGAAAACGGTCTGAATAATTCTCCAATACTCGTTCAAATACGCGACGAGTGTCCACTCGTCGATTTACATTCGCGAAATTCCATTGTTCTTGAATGTTTTCACGACAGGGATACGTAATCTCGATCGATCGAACTATGCCGATACGATAGAAAAATTTCCGATCATTCGACCGTGGATTCGATGCAGAAATTTCGATCGTTTGAAGAAAAAAAATCGATTTAAAGATTTCATTCGTAGGTTCGAAAACGTCGCGTCGGAATAACTAGAATCAAACAATGGCCGTCGCGGCGTGAAGGCCGCGAAACGGAAGCCGTGTGGAGGAGGAGCCTTGAGAGCAGGCTACGAAAGATAAAAAAATGGAAAATTCCCTGGAGACCGGAAGTCGTATCGTGTCTGCAGGACACGCGAGCCTCCGATCGTCAATTGGCGTTCCGTACAAAATTTTGTCGACGAATTAGTGGAAGGACCAATTAAGGCCCCTTTCCCCTGTAGCGGCCGGAAAATAAGATGACACTTAGGAATTTTTTTGAAAAAAGAAAAGCTAAACAGATATCGTAAACAAAACCTTCTGGCCTTTATTTGTTATACATTCAGGTAAACAAACAAAATTTTGGATAATCGTACTTACTACAATCTAACTTTCTTTGCCTTTTACAGTAAATCCTCGATGAGTGTTCGAAGGCTCCCCCGCACTGAACATTAAATATTTCATAAACTAATGACCATATATATCTGAAACAAACATCATTCCCTTCATAATTCGAAGCTCTATCACTATATTAAACCCCATTAAAGAGCCAGCGTTACACCTCAGTACCGAGGAGCACTCACCGATAGTTTACTGTATATAAAAGTATAAGGGCCACGGTCGATGTATCGTGGTAGATAGATCCTTAGGGTTACAATCATTGGTCGCTGAAACACGATCATTTAACCCTGGATCGGTACCGATGATCCTTCACAACACCGAGAACGGTAATGTCTGTCACGATGGATCGAGAGGAGGATCCTAAGACGCATGGCGGCGTTCTCCGCCGCTCAAGGACGCGCTCGTTCCGTCTCGTTGCCGAGGATAATGCAACGTTTCAGGATCTAAACTCGCGGCGTCGGGTCCGGTGTTTATGCCTCTAAGCAGACGATCGCAGGATACGGCCCCCGCGGCGAATAATCGATTTCCTCCTCCTTCTCGTTCGCCTGCGTCCCCTAGCGGACGACTTTGTCCGATTTGCTCGCCTCCGGTTTCCGTTACACGCTTCACTCGGTTCTACAACGAAGTTTTTCCGCCGGGAAAAACTGAATCTCGGTTTTCTTTGGGCTGTGTGACACCTTGCCTGTGCGTAGATCCGCTTGAAGACGGTATTACGTTTTTTTTTTATTATTTCGATACAATGAATAATTACAGTACTTATGATGTGGTAAGGTATCCATGATGGGCTATTATGTACATTATTGAATTAATTGAAACAATTTAAATTAAAGCTATGTTATTGACGTATCCAGATAGGTTGGACCTAAAATAGCCGTAAAATGGACGTCTTCAAGGCGTCATGTGCTGTCTGGGAATAGACTAGTGCATTTTATTATTCGATTAAATGTGTCAAAGGATCCTCGATATTTTCGTGTAACCGCGTCGGATGTTTCGAAGAGTAACGAACGATTCGTGGAACGAGACGCGCGGGTGAGTCATCGCGCGAAATCCACCGGAAGATCTGCTCTCGGCCCACACGCGCTGCCGCGGCTCGCATCTGCAAGCAGATGCACGCACAGATGCAGTTTCAGGGGCTATTGGCTGCGCGTAGCATCGGACACGTGATTCTTAATCCCTGAATCGTCGTGAAAGTACCGATTTTTAACATAAATTATTCAGGAATATGGAAACTCCAATGATTTTGGAAGTTTGGAAGCTGTGTAATATGGATCTAGGGTGACTAGAAATTCATAATTTTGGATTTAGGGTGACTCGAACCCCAGAGTTTTTGATCTGAGATGATTGGAACTTTGGAAGTTTGAATTTGGGGTAATTAAAACTTTAACACAGTGGGATCTTGGGTGATGGGAACCTCAGAACATTGGGATCCTAGATGATATCACTTGAGAACATTGGGATCTTGGGTATCTAGAACTTCAGAACATTGGGATTTGGGTGATTAGAACCTCATTCAGTAACTTGAATGTTCCGATGGAATTCGGAAGTATTTGATGTCTCAGAATGCTTTGGAATTCCGGAACTTACTGACGTCTGAAATCTTCGAATTCGGAAAGTTGGTTCTCGAGTGTTTAGGAATTCGGTAAGTTGGATCTCCAGAGTTTGGGAATTCGAGAAGTCGAACTCCAGTGCTTAGAAATTCAGGAAGTTGGATCTCCAGAGATTAGGAATTCAAGAAGTTAAATATCTAGAGCTTGGGAATTCGGAAAGTTGGATCTCCAGAGCTTGGGAATTCGGTTGACTCGTGGATAAACACAACCGATATTAATTAACTCCAAGGACATATACATCATGTTCACTTACAACAAGCACGTTCGTTCTCAAGTAAATGATAGTACTGTCCCCTTACATTGCGACGAACAACCGTAGCCACGCATCGGTACCCTGTCACGAGAAAGAAAGAGGGAGAAGACGCGATAATTCATATTCACGATTAACTCGAAACCTCGGCTAGTTAACGTTCCGATGCACCAGTGTAATTGCATCCTGGCAGTGAATAGATTTACACTTCTGCTCGGGGATATACCAGGTTCTGCCAATATCATTCACTTTAATCTACCGATTAAACCGCGTTACGGGCTCCTCCAAACGCGATGGCCCCCTCGCGCAAAATTTCTCTTGCCGTTCAACTGTCGTCAAGTACTTAATATGGTTAATATCTGACTCTCTAGTCAATGAAGCATCACATTACTGATTGGTATTAAACAGCCACATTTTAATAGCGTATAAAAATTATATCTATGAAATTAAACGACATTTCCAATGATCATTCTTCCATTATATTATAAATAAAAAATATATTTTGGTCAGTTGTTTTTGCACGTCTATATACGTTCAGTTTTACCGCGTATTGTTAATATTCAATATTCTATTTTGATATGGTCCAGTGACTGGTGATCGTCAGGGCAATGCAAGTGTTCGACAACCAATGATAGATGGTTTTAGGCTAGCGAAGTTCATCCGGCAGAGTGTTAGTAGTCTGCGCCCTCGCCAGAAGGAAAAAGTGTACCGCGATTACATGAAATTACGTCGCCGACGGATCGGTCGTCGCCGGTGGTAAAGGGCTTCGGTGAAACAAAGCCTAATAAAGGGAGGAGTAGGAGGATGGATACACCCGTAGGAAGGAGCCACGGCGAACAAAGAAGGGTCTTCTTCAGCGAAGACAGTTCCGAGCGGCCGTGGCTCGGATCCCTAAGCGTGTCTGCCTTGTGAGCGAGCCTCCCACTTGCGCATTATGCGAGGAGATACCCTATCTGTTGCGAGAGGAGAGAACGTTTTCCCGTTCTTTTCTGCGGCGCATGCCTGATCTCTGACCCCCCCGGGCTGCGATCTCGGCCCCAAAGACCGTCCCTGCTTCGCTGCGCGCCGGGCCCACGCGACCCATCGGACACGGCCCTGCGATATTTGCTACCTTTTGTGCTGGAACGATTTTATTGACGAGGAGACAACGTCAATACTTCAAACTTCAAAAATTCTAAAATTGAAAATGAAATGAAATTCCAAGTCGCTTAATAGACACATGCGTTACAAACATGAGTATTCTGGGGTGCCTTGTGAATTATGAATTATTTCGCCAATTATTTCCGAAATTGCAACGGGTTATCGCGGAATTATTTTCATTATTGAAGCTAGAAAAGTAATTACTAAAATGGCCCCTGAAAGGTGCAATACCAGCAATATTTCTATTACAGGAACGATAAAGAACGCGATAGATTCGTTAACGTCTTGTCTAAACGACAAGGCGTCACGCGATCACTATTTAAAAACACCTAGCTTTCATTGTACAAATACATCAAATTTATTCACAGCCAGTCGAATACGAAACGAAGACACTGCTCTGTCTGCTAGTTCATCTATACCTAGATAGCACATAGCGTTCAATGACGCCTTGAAGACGGCTTAAAGGCGCCTTAGTCTTAAAATAGTCGTAAAATGGGCATCTTCAAGGCGTCATGTGCTATCTGGGAACGAAACTACGAATCGTCGAATCGTATTTATAGACAGAGCTTACTGTATTCGACGTATTTTAGCGTTCACGCAGTAACAGCCACATGTAACTCGATTCTTCGATCTTCCACGACGCTATACGTCTGGATCCTACGGTTCGAGGGTCAAGTCGTTAAGGATTAATTAGTCCTGCCAGGCTTCGTAGAGCGTGGCACGTAACGAGAGGACGAAGAGAAAGAAGAAATAAAAGAAAAACAAAAGACACGGTCTCTATCTGTCTCCTCTTTCTCTGATCTATCATCACTTTGTTTGTTTGTTTGTTGTTTTTTTTTTTCTAAGTCATATGCCTCGCATCTCGGTTGTTTTACGACGATCACAGAATAATTATCATTCTCCGTCTCTCTTTATTGTACCTGTCTATTTTATCTGTTTCTATCTCTTTTCCTCTCTCTCTCTTTCTCTCTCTCTCTCTCTCTCTCTCTCTCTCTCTCTCTCTCTCTCTCTCTCTCTCTCTCTTTCACTTTCATACATGACGTTCACTGCAATATTGTACTTGTCTCGTTTTCAGGTGACCCCATGATAACATCCTCTCTGAAGGGTAAGTGACAAAAAACGACAGCTCATTCTGTCCTAAATTTTTTTTGTTTCGACTTTTTTGTTTTACTGGCCCTGCCCCCTTCTCCCCACTCGTTATTTTTGACTCTGTGCATCTATCCCCCTCCCCTCCACCCATCTCGAACGATCCACGCAACGATCCACGTCGTTTTCTCGGACAGTCCCGCGCCTACTCGAACGAGGACAATGGTGGGACGTGTCCTATCATTTGCATGAGTTTTTTTCCCCTGACCTCGCCCCCCCCCTCCTTCGCGGGCTTTCCCACCCTGTTTCACGCTTCACATTCTTTCACACGTACATACACTCACGAGCAGAATTATTGCGGACACACTTGAGTAGAAATTAGCGGAGAGGTGGCGTTCTGTCGCGTGGAATTGAAATTTTGAAATCGAAATGAAAATCTTGAAATCGAAGATTCTATGCTTTTTTCTCTGTTTTGTCGAACAGAGAACAACGCGTGAGGATCGATATATATGACGGTGTGTTTTATATGGCCCTTGGAATGTGCAAGCTTTTTCGGGATACCTTTTTGTGAGAGATGGTTTTTTATGACGATGGTTTGAGCAGTGTTAATTAATCGACCACGGATTTTAATTATTTTCTGTTATATATTTATTCGATTCATCGTGGATCCTCTGATCTGCTCGGGATCTACCGCGAAACGTATCGAAATAGGGTAAATGTATCTGCACCTATTAAAACCTTCGTAAGAAGACATAATATTCTACTCGATTACTGTCTTTCATAGATTCTATTCGCGTGAGTCTGCATTTTCGTAAATATTCACGATTTATTAATCACACGGTAGATATTCCATCATTCAAAAACCATCGATCATCAAATCAAACCCATGAGATCAATTCTGTGACTATGAAATAGCTTTCGACGAACGAACGAGTTTGCGCAAACATTCCACAGACGATTCGTAAGTCAATTGGATGTGTATTTAAGCCGATTGACGTCGAAATTCGCGGCAGAACGACAGATCACAATATATACGTAGGTAGACACAGCTTGGGCACCCATTTAGTTGACAGTAGAATATCGAATGGTCAGGTTTAGATGACACGGTCTTGTTCGATTCGTAGTGCAAGTAGCGAGCCACAGACACGATCACACGGCTCCACAGAGCACGACCAGTGGTGGGTAATCAAACCATTCCAGACGTGTTAAACATCTCAACTAGAACTGTGTATTTAGATATTCGAACTATTCTGACGACGTTTCAGACTCCAAACAATCTAATGACGTTTCAAACTCCACACAATTGTGGCTCGAACGACTCGAGATTTGAATCGTTTCATCAAATTGTTTGAAACGTTCACAGTGACTTGAAAGTTTGGTCTTTGAAATGTCATCGGACTGTTTATAGTTGGAACCGTTTGATCGAACTGTTTAAACAGTTTGAAGGCGTTCTTCAGTTTGAACGCCTCGCCGTGATCAAACTTGGCTTGAACTGTCCAAACTCCTCATCAGACGTTTAGATAAAGAATATGTTTGATACCGTTTGTTTGTGAACCCACCACTAAGCACGAGTAGTGTTCCGTTTGATAATACAACATAGAATAAACACGCGTTTTGTCTGTCGAAGGAAGGCAAGGTAATCGATCACGTCAAGATTTTGTTTTGAGAAACCGGACAAGATCAGAGATACGCGCCTGGATCGTGACACCTTGTTTTCCCAGTACACCATTCACAGATTGGTTGAATTTTGCGTGGTGACTAAAAACGATCGAGTGAATCCTGGTTGTCAAAAACATTTCTTGAATTGACTTGCGTGTGAAGAGTTTGCGTGATATAATTGAAAGGAAACGGGGACCACGAGAAATATTTTTGGTCCTTGAAACGTATTGGTACGCACGAAAAACGATTTAATTAGTGTTCTAGAGAGGAAACGATACTGTTATCCAAGCAGTGAGTACTATACTGGTTAATAAAAAATGACAGTGTCAATCCTTCCCATAGAAAGAGGTTGCAAAAGAATTGTTGCCTCTACAGCTACACAGCTGAATCTAGCCAGTTGTTCCCGCGGCGCTGCGATTGGCAGCCAAAGTTACCGTGGGAACTCGGCAGGCAGACTCGCGCTCTGATTGGTCGGAGTTTTTCGTTAATATCTCGTTAACAATGCCTCGGATAACATTTTTGTTAAGGAAAAACTTGTTTCAAATCATTTTACGAGTCTCCCATTTCCGTACAACTAATTTTTGATTTGTTATATACAGTAATATCTCGATGAGTGCAACGTACTCGGGTCCGATTTGGAGCATTCATGGTTTAGTTAATAATAAATTAATGCGAGTTTTTTTGGAAGATAGAAAAAGTTTGTCTCACCATTTGAGCTGCTGAATTTTGATTCTAGACCATTGTGCGACGCAGCATCGCTGCTGCTCTTGCATTTTATCCCGTCGTGCGTATGTGGCAATGCCGTGTTATGGCCTGGCTCGATTGCCTGACGGTTATGGAAGGATAATCCCCTTGGTGCGGTCGACGGTTGCTTCTCAGATTTCGCGAGGCGACCATAATCTCTCTCTCTACCCGCGGTGGGGAAACCTGGACACGGCTGGATCCACCTCGGTGTGTGCCCTGGCGTAAACTCGACGTTGTCTTCGTGAAAAATCATCGGATACTTAAGAAATTACACGAGATATCAGGTGGGGATCGGGACCACCGGCTAGGAGACTCGCGGCAATCCACGACGATAGGGAATTGAAACAAGTTTGTTTGCATGTCTACATTGCGTGAAATTTCCATTTTCTTCAATTTTTCTTGAATGGAAATGCCACGAAGAAAAGTTTTAATATTAAGAAGTACAGTGATTACTCGATGAATGCGACACGAGCAACGGCGTTATTTCCACCATTGAGGGAGTTCCCATTCGAAATCAACCAAACCAGAGTAAACAGAAACTAAGCAGAGGCTCAGCTTCGGGTAAAAAAACAAATTTATGAGAGCCTGAGTACGTGGCACTCATCAAGACATTACTGTACTGTTTAAAATATTGTATTTTTCAATGAATTGATTCGTGGCATTGGCAGTTGTTAATTTTTATAAAAGACACGTCGAACCAACGAAGATCTGTCGTTTCCCTGTTCCCCAATGTCAGTCAGTTTCTATGATCTTCCAAAAATCGTGAAAGGATCGCGTACCAATGAGACAGGCGTAAATTTGATCTCGAAGTCAGCTTTTCCTCGAAACTCTCTGGAGATTGGTCTTTGACTTTTAGCTGACAAAGGATACTAAAACATTGCGGGTGCTGGATTCTCGAGCAAGTTTAAACGCTTTCAAAAAGGTACAGTCGATTATTTGAAGATAAGCGATCCTCTGATCGCTTCGAACAGTATATTTGACAACAATACACAATTACATTAAACAATATTGACTTCAAAAATTTCTCTATTATTCTATTTTTTTTAATACTGTATACCAATAGAAAGGATTCAAATTTAACAGAGAGAATGTAGGATTTTGCTACTTGCAATTGTTTAACATTCAACAGTGAACCCAGTGTAATAAAGAAAATACAATTTCAATTGATCAAAGAAGATATATTGATTAAGATTGAATTCGAAATTTCGACGTTATTTGTTTATTTATTTATTTATTGACGGGATAAATGAAATTCTAAAATACGTTCTAAATAAACAATCTACTTGATCATTCCTTCGATTTGTCTAACATTCTAGTTAAAAATTTCTCTTTAGCGATGACAAGCAATTGAGCGTCGAACAGATTGGCAGCTAAAAACATCTTCGTAGTGTCATCTTCTAATTCGGTACAACAATTATGAAACGAATATACTCGCTGAACTTGTATTTCAATGAAAAATGCTCGACCATTAAAATTCCACGTTCAATCGAGAAGAAAAACAATGTACGATTTTACAACGATAACGAACGTGTGTACACGTCGCCGCGTCGGCTCGTTACGTAGGTACCTCGAGGATTGAATTGACCAGAAAACAGGATCGACACGCAGCCTTAAGGCGTCTCTTCGGTGGGTTTCTTTATCGACGCGACGATAAACTCTCCGGCCGATCTAACAGCGAAAACGGGAATAGATCCTTGTATCGGTGCACGCTGTTATTATCATTATCATTATCATCGGGCGTAATTATACACCCCCCCCCCCCCATTCGTTAACGAGCCGCTCCACGGTCTTAATGACGGAAAACCGTTTTAAATAACGCTGTCTGTCACTATGAAAAGACGATGAAAACCGGTCGTTAGATTCCTGTATAATGGATTAGCGTATCTTGTGGGATCTCGCGCTCGATGACGTTCTTTCCCCGCATGTTCACTCCCATCCTTCGAGAAATCAATCCTGAATCCTGTATTTATTAAATCGCCCGTTCGAGCACACGACTCGACGGGGTTTTGCAATATTAATTCCTGTCGATTAACCCCTTCGCCACGACGGAATCGGCTGGTGTCTCCATACGGGACAGTTGCGATTCCGTAACTGCTCACTGCTCTGAACCAGAAGATTCCTTAAATGCTCACTCCACTGAACCGAAATATCCCTTAAAAGTTCACTCTATGAACCCGGAAAATTCTTCAAAATTTTCCTCCTCTTGCCCTAAAAGTGCTTGAAATGATCCTCCATTCAGAGCCCATAAAATTCCCTTAGACCCTTCCAAAAATGTCCCTGAATGATACTGCAAGAGTTTCTATATAACATAGAGGGGTCAAAGCCGATTACAGTTTACATAATACACTTGCTCCGTCGATCTGCCTTTCGATGATCGATCCTCCCGTAATCCGTTCGTACGATCGTAACTAGCGAAATATGCCTCGCTTGCCCTCGCGCGTGCAATCAGCGTTCCCTTTAACGACGCTATTCGCGTCTGTCGCCGGCCAATTACCATTTCTCGCTTGCCGAGAGCTCGATTGTATAATCGGGAACGAAAAATATTTTCATCGCGCTCTCGAGGGGTCGTAGCGGGCTCCTGCGATAAACGGGTGCCGTCGATTATATAAGAAATTT